TTGTCCAGCTATTCATTTCACTTTCAATCAAAATAAAACGATAGAAATGCCTGTTAAATGACACGGCACGGCGCGACGCGACGCGACGCGACGCGGCAACAACACTCGACAAAAACATGGACAAAGACAAAGCCCGTCATTAGCGTTACGCCATCAAAGCAAAGCAGCAAATAATAATGCTCAACTACCCAAAACATGGGTAGAGCGCCCCAGTTCTGAGTGCTCTCTGCTCAGTGATTTGTGCGCTGGCGGCGGGCCGGAAAAAAAGAAACCATTGGTCAGACGCGCCCCTTAAGATATAGTTTGTAAGTTTTTGGTTATTTTTATTTTGACGGAAGTGGAAGTGCCGCAGTCTTGTTAGACGAGGCACAACAATAGGAAAAGGGTATGACAGCCAACAACAGAACGGAACAACGAATAGTGGGCAATGGGCAACGGGCAATAAAGAACTGGGCCAAGGTTGGGTTGGGAAACAAGGCGACAAGGAAAAACGGGAGGAAAACCTGCATTAGCTGCACGCTGATTTCGGTGTCTGGTCGAGCGGTCAAGCAGTCAAGCCCTGACCTCTTCCCTGCTTATGACAACGACGCTGACGAGTTGCAGAGCACCACAACATACACTGACAAAAAAAACTCACTTACATTTCAATATTTTCAAAATTATTTCAATATTTTTAAAGTGTGACGATATTCAATCACAAGTGATGATGTGGATGTGGGTTTAATTATATAATTAGTATATAATTATAAAATAGTACTTTTCTGTATTTCTGTCTACTCTACTGATACTACTGAACTCTTTTTAATGACGACATTTTTATAATGCATATCTCTATATATATAAAACAGTTTGTCCTGACTGACTGACTGACTGACTGACTGATTGGAAATCAACGCACAGCCCAAACGGTAGGAGCTAGGAAGCTAGGTTTTGGAAAATTCGAGCTCCAAAGGGGGGAAAACGGGCTCCAACGCTTGTTTTATATACTTGTATACGTGAATATTACGTGTTTCGTATAGAACTATTTTCAGCAGAAAGTAATTTTCAAATTTATTTGTTATTAAGAAATTAATTATCCCGACGTTTTTGTGCCTTTTATATAGCTTAGATGAATGTTAATATTAAAAGTGAATACAAAGCTGATTGAATACACTAGACACTTAACTAACGACCATATATTATATTATATTCAAATATTTAAATTTAATATATTTCTAGTATATTTAAATCGATCACAAAAAACTACAATTTAAAGTTGAGAAAAATATTAAAATTAACCAATTATATTCCAATACTTAGTAAATTTATCTATTTGAAGTGGGTACATATTAAAATTTAAAATATGGTCCAACATAAATTGTTTTCACACTTAGTTTTAAATATTATTTATATTTAAATCAGTATTTGAATATGTTTTATGTAGTTAAAAATATATGTCAATTCGATTTAACTATTAAAAATATTTAAATATAATATATTTCTAGTATATTTAAATCGACCACAAAAAACTTCAAATTAAAGTTGCGTAAAATATATACTTAGTAAATTTAACTATTTGTTATTTAAAGTGGGCGAATATTAAAATTTAAAATATGGTCCAACATTATTTGATTAGAATATTATTCATATTAAAATCAGCATTTCAACATGTTTTTAGCTAAATTTATGTTGTTTATATTTGATTTGAATATGAAATAGTAGAACATTAGATTGAATATGAAAATATTCATTTCTAAGTACTGTGCAACTTTTTTTTTGAGTGCATATAGCCGTGCATAGTAAGTATCACATAATAAAGTATTTTACATTGTTTTGGCTACAACTCTTGAACAAAAAGACAACAAATCGAGTGACGGCTGCACCTCAGTCTCAGGCTCATTCGCAGTCTTGGACTCATCGACATCGTCAGTTGACCATATGACCAACTGGCCGCGAGTCAGGGACTCGTCCATGTATGAATTTTAATAAATACTCGTACCAATGAAAACTTTATGCTCTGCTGAGCATTAACATGGGAAGCGTATGTGAGTGCCTAGCCGACAGAAAGATGAAGTAAGCGAAGGACGCGACACTGCCCAGGCCTGTGAAAAGTGTTAACGGTTTAGTTAGAAAGAGGGCATTCAGTGTTAGCCATCCAAGGATTAACACAGCACTACGGGAACTGCCGACCGAATTTGCATACCTTCGGGGTTGTACAAATGTTATGACAGCTCATTTAACGCTGTCAACGACGCGTCGTCTGAGACGGGCTCATCATGATCAGAGCTGCTCGTCCTGGGGCACGGCATGCGAGGACCAGAGCTTCTAGTTTCTGGACTAATTAGCCAGAGCGGGTAAGGGTAGGGGTTGGGGAACGTGTTGCAAGCGCAACTAATTACAATTAAAAGCAGTTCAATACAATTTCTTTCCATTCCATTAAAAACATACTATACTTAAGCCACTTAATATGTGTCTTAATAATGCTTATTTATTCCATCTTGTTTATATATTTTATGATGAGCTTTAGAAAGAAATTACGCTGCGCATTGAAATACGAGAATTGTAAATCATTATTCCCATTCATTTCAAAGACAATCACTATAATCTTGTAATTTTAATTAATTATTTATTTATTAATAAACCTTGCAAGTATCGGGTTACTTTTAAATTATTAGGCTAGTCAATACAACTTTAATTATATCGAGCTTATTATTAGGTTATTTTCATATTATTATTATTTATTAAATATTCTTCAGTTGGCCTTAAACTAAGATAGATAGGTTTTTTTTTAAAGCAGTTTAGCAATATATTAAGCAAATATTTTGAGATTCTGCCACCTTAAGTGCCAGTATTTCCGAATGTATGGGTTGTATAAGGATTGTATCGTCCAAAGCTGCCTTATTGCTTCATTGCTATTGTGAGATTATAATCGTAACCGTTCTTAACCTCAAGGAAACATCTTTCGTACTTCCATTGCTTTCAGTAAATCCTTTACGGTTTTATTCTGGTACTGTCGAAACAGTTGCATTAGGCAGTGTCTTGAGGAAATAGAATACGAAGCGATTGTATAAGTCAATTAAGATTTTCAGTTACTTGGAATACTTACATAGGAAAGTTGAAAGAATAGGCACTTTCGAAAAGTACTGATGGCTAAATATTTGTCGTTATCTGAAAATTCTAAGTTGGGATGATTTTTTACAACAAATTACTCGTACTATGTAACACAATACTGCTCAGTTGGCAAACTTCTGGAAAAATTGTAATTTTTTTTAAATCTTAATTTAAAATCTATCTTTTGTTGAACAATTATAAAATTTTATGACACCTTTGACATTTTAAAAATCATGCTTCTTGTCATGATTCGTGATTCGAACCGAGTGCCTAATCAAGGACCGAACACACATTGGGATTTCTGATAGCTCGTTGAGCTACGTAAATAAATAGTTATTAAAGTAAGATTTCGATAGTAAAAGAAAAGAAAGTAAAAAATATATTAATGGAGCATTTTATTAAACTGCTGGATCAAGTATACATCCCGCGATTCCGCTTCCCCCTTAAAAGATAAGAGCTTGCATCTTAAGAAGCCATCACTTGATAGGCACAAGATCTATTTACTTGCTCAGGTCAAAGAAGATATTAAGATAGGTAGTAAAGACCAGACTATAGAAGTTTTTTTTAATGTTATATAATGTGTAATTTCTAAATTAGAAATGCATTAGTTAGTAGTTAGGTAGGTTCTTAGTTGTTTGTTTTGTCTGGCTTGTGCCCCAAAATGCTCGAATTTTTTGGAATAACTCTTCATGATGATATATTTTCTTTACCTCTTATTACAAAGTTTCTTTATTTTTTAACCAGAACGCAACGGGGGTTTCATGACTAAGTGGCCCTATCTATTGAATCTTAACCAAAAAGGTCGGACAACAATTAGATAAATTGTTGGCTGATTCGCCAAATAAATACATAACATCATAGACCAAGGAGGGTGGGAGGTCTGTTCAAAAAATTAAAATTTTGATTAAATAATGCACGATGCGTTTAATTAAGAATTTCAACAAATGCAACTCAGTTCCATTTTAAGGCAAAATAGTGCGCCATAATAATGAATTTGTGGTCGACTTTATATGGCAAAATTTTTTTTGCAACCTCCCTCCTCCCTTGACATAGAAATAATTATATTGTAATTATAATTTGTTTAAAAAAAGGATTTCAAATTTGGTTTGCTTCATATGTATATCTTCAACTTTTAATCAATAGAATTACTCAATTAATATAGTACATTGAATATATAATACATACATATGCCACAAAATCAGCTTTACTTCGAATTATAATTAAGAGAGCGAACATTTTTAATCAGTCTTAAGCACTCCACTGAACAGGTAATAAAGTATATAGTTTTGAAAATATTTAGCTGCCATATGAGTTATGTCTTCTGTTCAGGTATTTCGAGTTGCCCGTATTTCGAAAGTTCGTCAAGTACCTGCATGATCATATATACTTGTACTTGTAATTATATGCACGTAGTATATAGGTTGGTATTGGTCCGAGACACACAAATTCCTCTGTCATCTCCCTTCAACTTGAAGTCTTCTGCTCATTAGACTCGCACGCAACTGCGAGCTATCAAAGCATAAAAACGCCCATTAAAGCAGGCGCTGTGAGAAACACTTGGCTGATGGTCTAGCCCTTTCTTGGTGTTCCTTCGGAGGAACTTGAAGGGCGAGCGCCACGGTTCGTTGAGCTTCAAGAGGTGCTTTGCATAAACTGCAGGCTCTTTTGTGGCTTAGACAAAATTGTCGTAAAATGATGGCCTTTAGAGATCGTTGCCAGTCCGTTCTTAAATAGGAATTCTTACCTCGATTAGAAAGAAAAGTGTGGGAAAGCTGCCTATTAAGAACAAAACAACTCTACTCGCAATTGGGCTCAAAAAAATTATTTATTATTTATAGCAGTTGCGGAAAAAAATTAAGTTAAAACTATAAAAAAAAATATGTGTTCATAAAACTATGTGTATTTTTTGATCAGCTGTCGTCGACCAGCGAAAAGCTGAGCCGCCGCTTCGTTGCGTCCACCAATTCCTGGGACTGTAACCAAATGTTTTCCAGCTTCTCCCCAGCCACATCGTCGTTCAGCTCGCAATCACTCGTCGAATTGTGACCGCTGTCCGGACTGATGTGGCGTTGGGCGGATCGCGGAGCTTTCTGAGCAGATTGAGCCGCTGCTAGCAGCTTCTGAGCCGACTGCCGCACGCTGGACGAGATTTTCGTGGCGATCTTACGCTTGCGCCGCATCACCCGCTGTCGCCGCAGATGCAACGACTGCGAGCGTCGCTTGCACTGAGTGTGGGGTGCAGGGAGCGGGGAACGCACCTCGCGCTCCTCGTAGTTCTCGCCATCGGCGTCAGGGCCAGGCTGCCAATACTCGCACAAGTCGCTGGCTGGATCGTAGGCGGGTCGATAGGTGGGCGAGTGTACGGCGATGGTGGCTGCCAGACGCTGGCGCTGTCGCTGGCGCAAACGTTGACGCGGACGAGGGCGAGGATTTGGGGGAACTGCCTTGTGGGTGCTCTCGAGTATCGCATCGATCATCCGCTCCAGAGTTACATCGCCCATTTGTGTGGAGCTGAGTGTGGGCTGCTCCGCCTGCTGGGCGGCAGTTGAGGCGGGAAGCGGTAGAGGCTTCTGCTCCAGATAGCGCGGCTTCTCGAAGTAGCTATCGGGGATGCCCATGCCTCGTAGAGCGAGCAGAGGTCCGGGTATGACGGCCGCACTCGGCGAGTACTCCGCCTCAAAGGTGGGCAGTGTGGAGGCGTAGACGGGTGGCTTGGCGCGTAAAGTTGAGGGTGGCGTTTTCCAGGGCGATGGCAGTGTCTTGGGCGTGGTGATGGCGGAGGCGGAGGCGGTGGCGGTGGCGGGCGTCCTCATGATGTTGCTCAGATCCTTCAGACGTGGCGTGCGGCAAGTGGCAAGCGGCAGTGGCGTCGAGGTCAACTGATTCTCCTTACCCCCCAGTGTCAGCGCTGACAGAGATTTGCGCTTCAGCTTCGTTCTCAGTACGCGCTGTTCCGGCATCAATGCCTGGAATTCGCTGTAGCTGCTCGTATTTGTTGTTGTTGCTGACACTGCCAGTGTTGTTGTTGTTGTTGAATCCGCTGGCACCGCAGACATCGCGCAGCCCAGATACGAAGGCCGCGGCTGGATGACAGCCCACTTGAGCATCGCTGGTTCTGATTGTGATTCTGGCCGTGTCTGTGTCGGGATCGAAGTCTCCTTCGTCTGACTAGTTTTGTTGTTGTGGGTGCTGCAAGAGCGAGAGATGGCAAGAAGTTAAGGTTAGTTTCGTGGCCGAGTGTTGGCATTCCTCAGTGGCTGCCACAAAGTTGCCAGGCAACTTTTTGGCGCGCTTTTCGATCGCGACTGCGATGTGCAGTTTTTGGCCTTAAGTTCTTTATATATACTCGTATGTATGTTTGTACATAAATTTGTTTGCATGCCTTTCTGCCAAATCAGCGAAGCAGCAAAAATGAACAGAAATCCGAAAATTGTATTTGGACCGCAGCTCGCATCGTTTTACGTGCAATTAACTTCACTATTGGTTGTCGTCTAGAAAACCCCTTGAGGCATGCATATATTCTTGTATGTCTGCACAATTCGAATGGGCAAGCAGAAGAAACTTGAATTTCTTGCTTTTGGCATACATTTTTCAAACATTCCTTCCTCATTTGATATGCACAATAATTGCAATTCAAATTAAGAGGAAAAATTCATACACATACATATGCAAATTCAGGGCAATAAGCAAAATTATGAGTGCGCTCTGCACTTCAAGGGCCCGAGGCCGCTCAAGTGGGCAAAATAATTGTTCCATTTTATTGCACTTTCAATTTACCTTTTTAGTATTGTTTGAAACGCATGAATTTTTGTTTTTTCCAAAAATAAAAAAAAATAAACCACCAAATAAAAAAATGCAGTCGCGAAATTGTTTTTGAAAACTTTTCCAAAATAAAACACTACTTTCACGTTTTCGTTCACGAGCTGCCATTGGACATGTTCTCGCCGGGACTGACGTTTGCTGACTGGCCTTAAATATAGCCTCACTGTCGTCTAGCTGGCCGCGCTGAGAACGAACGTGTTGCGTCTGCGCGCTACTCACTTGCAAAGCAGGAGAGCCAAGGAGCCACAGAGAGAGAATGAGAGCGCGAGAGCAGCCGTCAGCCGGCGAGCAGCAACAGTTTCAACTACCACCGACGTCGTTTTAGTTTCGTTCAATGCGAACTCAATGGCCTTTCAATTCAATGCTTTGCTGCGAAGGTGGGTGGTTGAGGATACGGGAAAGAAGGAACATACAAAATAGAGACATCGTCAAAAGTAATTGCTAAACATACATATATACATATGTATATGTATGTATGCAGATCTTGGAAATATTTCAACTAAACAGAGCTTGCATTATGGACACTCACAATTGAACAATGAGAAAAGCTCATGATTTCTGAAAACTCCCTACTTGTACTTATCTTGCTATTGATCCAAACTCTTTCTTCTATACTATGTCCAATCTTTATCCTTCAACCTATACCAATATTCCACCTACTTATAGCTTTACCCGAAGGTCACAAAAAGGAGCTTGGCTTTCATAAAGATTTTAATTCTTCTCAAAGAATAGGTTAGTTTCCAAGATATTTCAGCATCAAAACAAATAATAAAAGGCTTTACAAACAATAAACAAGTACAATTTTAACAAAAAAAAAGGACTTCGGATCTAAGTGCATTGCTTACCTCGAGATAAATTAAATCCTTAATCAACTTGATTAAATTATACGCGTAATATTGCTTTGTTGTCATTACATAATGTTCTGAGGGTGATTCTGAAGTAACACCATTCTGTGCAGGAATAGAATTTTCAACTTTATTGAACCACATGAAGTACATTTAAGGAATTGGATACCATTGTCAGAACTAGACAAAATTTACCAAAGGACCAGCTTTCAAATAAAAATAAAAAGTAAAAAAAAATCGGTTCACCCAGTCGAAAGATCGAGGGTAACAAAGAGTCGAATTGAAAGCCTCCTCCTTTTTTGAAGTCGGTTAAAAATAACTTAGCTTTTGTTTAATTCATAAAATACAAATGTTTCTTCTTTGTTATTTATGGTCCCGTATTTGATCGAACTTATTAGAGCCCACCTAATACCCTGAATATTCACCATTTTTCTTGAAGACTTTATCGATTCTTACAGATATAGTTTCCAACAGATTTATATAAATTATAAATGTTAAATTGTAATTAACCTGTATTTGTATTTAACTATAAGTTTAATTTAAGTTATAAATAAAACAGTATAATTAAAAAAAATCCAAAAAAAGAAAAAAAATACAGATATAGCCGATGCCAACTTCCGACAAGTCTCTACAGGAATATTGTACCAAGCTTTTTGAATATTTTTCCATAACTGCCGTCTTAGAAATTTCTTGTTTAAAATCTCCCCGAAAGTTCTCAATGGGACTGAGGTTTGGTTAACCGCTTAAGTACGTCTTCATAATGAATTTGGAACCATCCTTTAACAAATTGCGAGTAATGTTTAGGTCCATTGTCCTGCTGATATTTCCACCTACTATTTTATCCAGGTGTGTATGTATATTATGTTTGTATGTACAAATAAAAAATCAAATGTTTACATAATAAAATAAATCAATGTAGAAACAAAATTGACATTTTCTTCGATTGACAATCACTCCCTCCCTCCTCCTCACGCTAAAACTAAAATGTTGAGCTTGCTAAATGCACTTATTATAAAAAAACTATAAAAAAAAATGTTAAAAACAAAAAACTATACTATAGTGGGTGAATAATTAGCATTGTTTTTGCTTTCTCTTTTATTTATTTACAGTTTGGAAGTACATTTAGCTTTTGTCTGTCTAGGCACTCAGTCTTCACAAGCTCAATTTTGCCTTAATTCTAGTTGCCAGGTTGTCCTTTCTTAAGATATTACCATTATGTTCGCTTATGCTTATGTTCAGATAATTCTTAAGTTAACCTAGTCTTTTTTAGTATGAATAATTATTCTTAGTTTAAGTGATTTATAATTTATTGTAATTTTATCTGTAATTTTAATTACCTATCAGGCCACAATGTCGAAGTATATATAATATTGATTTGTTTTACAATAGTAGTTTTGAAAACTGTTTAAAAGCTCTTCAACAGCACTTAAAGCGTTGCTAAGACAACTAGTTTGATTCAATGTTTGAATAATGAAAAAGTTGGCTAACCAAAAAAAAAAAGAAAACAAAAATGAAACCGCTGTCTATGTCCACACAACTGCCACATTCTGGAGTCCCATTCTAAAGTCCTATTCCAACTGCCAGCTGTTCAGATCGCTGTTGCTGTTGCTGCCGCTTATGCCACAAAACATAATTTTCAATTACCTTTCTCGCAGCGTGTGGCTCCTTTCACCTTGGATTTTTGCCAAGAAAAGGACAAGACATGCACACACACACATACACACTGGCTGGCATTGTGCAATTTCGTCTATTGTTTATGGGACGAGCTGAGCTCTGCTGCCGACGTCGACGTCGACAGCGACGCCAGAGAAAAATGTTGTGGAAAATTGTGCAATTGTTTCGCAATTTATTGGTTAAAGGGCTTGGCTGGGAAACTCATAGAGATGCTTTGCTTCCTTCCTGCGTTGACTTCAGCCGCGACTGCGACGCAGCAGCGCAGCAGCGCAGCAGCGACGTCGCGACTACCGCTCTGTCTTTTTAAAGCGCAAATTTATGATCATTTCCTTTTCGCTTTCACTCACAGCATCCTGCCATCCTGTGAGTGTCCATTTGTAGGGGCCGCGACAGCTGGCCGAGCCAACGACCAATATGGAGTTCGGCTTTGGCGATCCTGTGCGGCATTCAGGATTTGTTTTGCTTGCCGTTGTTTGCACAATTTATTGGACATTTATTGCTAAAAATTTCGCTAGAATGCCAATCAGTGTCTTTTAATTTAGCTGTATTTGTTTTATTTATTTGATTTCCTTTTTTTTTTTTTGCCAAGTGTCGACTCAGGAAGTTCCAGGACGATTTTGGACTCCCACATGGTAGTGTTTTGATTTAAGGACACTTGCCGTATCAACTTGAAATTGAATTCACATCGTATTGTCTCTTCTTTCTTTCATTTTCTTTTCACAACAGCAACATTTCCGGGATCTCCATTGAGTTTTCAAATGAAACAAGTGGACTTTGAAATACTATAAAAAACAATAATAGATCCAAAGTAAATGACTGAATTAAGAAATTACAATTTTTTGGTAATTTGTCGTTTTGCATTGAAATATTTATACATATGTATCTCTAGGCTTTAGAATATTTACAAACAGTTAATACACAACTCAAAGATTTTGCACTATTTTAGATTTTAATGATGAGCTGTAAAGCTTGAGTTAGTCACAGTAACTAGTTTAAAGCCAGAAGAATGTACTAAGTATTTCAAACAGCTGAACTATTTTATTTTGATTAAATCTTTAGATACAAAAATTTTGATTACTTTATGTAGAATGGATACTAAAAGGACTGAAGACACACAAATCTGCCATCTTGTTGAACATTTTGAATAATTTAGATTGAAATTGAACTCCAAATTGAGGGACAGCAGTTAATCAAGCTATTTCAGGTGGGTGCTGTTAATAACTGAAAACAATCGAACTAATTAAACAGAAATAAATTCCTGGCTTTTAGATTAAATAACGAATCATGCTTCCTTGAAGTGTCCGAATTAGATTTTGAAGATGGATGCCATCGAATTTTCAGCCTGACCAACAATAAATCTTTAAAAATGCACTACAAATGAGCAACAACACAAGAACGGAGAAGAAAAACTAAATGATTCAATAAATGTGAGAGGAACCTTTGTTGCGGGCCATTTGGGCCATGTGGACTAGAAGCGCGCATGGCAACAGCAGCTGCAGCCAAGAATGCAAGCAAGGAAGGAAGGAAGGACAAAATATAGAATCCCAGAATCGAAGACAATTTTACGCATTGGTCACTCAACGCCCCTGCGCAGACAGCAGACAGAGGACAGCAGACAT